TTGACTCTGCGCTGTTGCCAACTCAGTTAACACCCTCGTCACTCCTCGCTGATGTTGTGTCTGGCAACTGTTTACCAGTAATAGTTTTAACGTGCAATCACATCTGGGAATACTAATAGGGTTCTGCTTTTGATTACGTGAGCATTATGTAAAGGGAAGTCGTATGATTTAATACATCAATATATTATAGCTATTTTTCCCTCTGCCTTGTGATCTAATAGCTTCATTTTATCATAGTTAATTTTCCTCTCTCGAATGAGGCGAGTAAACTACTTTTGGCGATTTTTTTTGTAAACTTGAATAGAATTAGTTTGATTGATAGTGATTAATTAATTGACTTTTCTGACATAGAGTTCGTGAAAATATAGGATGATGCTTAAATATTTAATATTTTTTGCTCAATCTGAATATTTTAGTTTTATACTTTTATTAGCTTGTGATATGTACAGACAAGTCGACAGACACACAAAGCAATAGGCAGATAGAAAGTTCAACATAGGTATACACTTCAACATAGAGAGAAACTGGCTGACAGACAGAGAGAAAAGATGAGCAGACAGGCGAGCAGACATTCGGACGAACTAACGAACAGATAGATGAACAAACAGACAGACGAACAAATGAACAGACAGGCAAACAGGCAGACAGGCGAACAAACAAGCAAACAGACTAGCGAATAATCACACGAATAAATCAGCAGACGAACAAACAAACACACGACAGACAGATGGATAAACAGAGATAGACAAACGAACAGACGAATAAACAGACAGACGAACAGACAGACAAACGAACAGACAAATAAACAGACAGACGAACAGACAAACAAGCTGGAAGAGAGAAATAAAAATGCTTCAATAAATAACAGTTCCTTTTTGCTTCCAAATCCTGCCTCGGAGTCTTTACGTCGTGATCGAGGATTTATAAAGCCCTTGTGTCTTAATCCAATTAGTTTGCTCCTTAAACGTGTAAAAAAAAAAGTTTCCTTTTTTTTCTCTCTTGACGGAAACAAGAGCGCATTAAATGACAGGAAGTTTTATTTTTTTATTTATTTATTTTTTTTTGAAGCTTAAGGGCTGTTTGGATTATTTTTGTTATTTATTTATGCTTTGGATTCCTTACTTTATTCTTTGTTTTTTCTTGTTTATTTTAGTTTTTACTTAAGTTCCTTTTATTTTTTGCTTATTTATTTACTTTTTTTCACTGTTTATTCCCCTGTTTGCCTAGTTATTATTCTCTTAATTATTCATTCACTTATACTAATTGATTTATCTATTAGTTTGTTTATTTGCCTGTTTATTAATATTATTCATTTCATTATTTATACATTCAGTTCCATGTACTTAATAAGAATGACGCACGGCACTGTATCTATTTCAACAATACATTAAATTCATAGAGACGTGATAATGAAAAGCAAAAGTATTGTCATGCAAATATTTTTTTTTTCATACTAGTGAACTAAGAGAGAAAACAATAATGGTGATAATGATGGCAGTGATGGTGATAATAGAAATGGTTCTAATTATGATAAAATTAATGATGACCGTGATACTATTAGTAGTAATAACGATTAAGTTAATGGTGATGATGATAGTAATTTTTATGATAATGAAAGTGAAAATGATGATAATAATAATAATAATAGTAATAATAATAATAATAATAATAACAATAATAATAATAATAAAACTAATGATAATGGTAGTGATACTACTAATAATGGTAATATTAATGATGATAACAATTAATCAAGATATCATTAAAGCATTTGTAGCAGCATGACTAGAGGCGATGGAAAATGCAACCGCATCGGAGCGGCAAGTTCAAGCCTCGCCCTCCGCCGCAGGTCCTTGAACCTCGGCCCTCGCTGCGCCTCACCTTTACTCGGCCGCCGAGTGCCAGTCACGGGATCCTAAGTTCCCTCGTACCTGGTGGGCGGGGGAAGGGGGGGGGGGCGAAGGGGAGGGGCGTTAGGGCAGCAAGGGAAGGGGAGGGGGCGGAGGGAAGGGGAGGGGGCGGGGTCTCGTATGCAGGAGATATAAAGCTGCACCAACACGCCGGCGGCCGTCGGGGGCGGTTCTCTCGGCGTCGCACTCGCCCGCGAAGGACGCGCGTCGTCCTGCGGGAGTCGACGGCGGAGGCGCCGCTCAAGAGGCCAAGGCGTTGCGAAGAGAGACGAGGAAGCGACGCCTAACGCCAGGAATTACCGCAGGATGGATATGTAGAATTTCATAATATTTACGTTTAGTAATAACGATTTCAGTAAAATTACTAATTTTACATTTCCCTGGCGTTAGTCCATGAAATTCGAGGACCATGCCGTCATAGTCCACGAAGACAAGATGCACCAAATGTTACCAATGCCCTTTCAGTCACATGACCGAGGGAGGTAAAGCAACAGTGTGACTAGATCGAATATTGACGTGGATATCAATATCATTAATAGATTATTCAAATAGTCAACAAGGTCTTCAACCATATTATTACTAAGAAAGATGACAGGAAAATATAAATTACTCATAAAAAATGGAATAATATTTGTGTGAATGTATAATGTAATAATTACACAAGATCTGTCACATTATTTTCATCAAACATCCAAATAAATTATGCCATTTTTTTCTCGCTTTCCAGCCGTTATCCCCTCCCCACCCCCCCCACCCCAGAAAAAAAAAACATAACAAATTTAGTGACTATAATCATCACGTTATGGTTAATTGAACCTCATTCAGGTGTAATATGAGTTTGCGAGAGTAAACATGTTTTAAATCCTGCGTTTGGTCGGCGCAGAGTTTCTCAACATGCCACGGGCTGGGCGTGGTGGGTCTCGAGTTTTGACATTGGAATCCACAAACCTCCAAAGGCGTGACCTGCTTTCATAATGAGTAGAAGGTGAATAAGAACGAGGATGGCGTGATGATTGAGGGGATACTGATGTTGATGATGTTAATGACAGTGATGGTGATGATGATGATTATTATTATTTTTATTACTTTGATTATTATGATC